GACCTGCAGACACCTCCACCGCCACCACACGGGACGGCCCGCAGCCCTGGCTTGGACGTTGTAATCCAGGCTGTAGGGACACGGACGGGCCTGAGGTCAGAGCTGGAGTGGGAGTTACTACCCGTTCCCAGCTGGCAGAGGCTCAGCCGGGTGGGACCTCCCACCTCCGGGCCCCAGCCACGTGTGGGTGGGCACCGTTTGTGCTCCCCATTGCCCTCGTGGGACCTCCAGTGAGTCTGTGGCCTTCGGGAGTTTAGGCTGTGGACGGCTGTGTAGAGGAGGCTGAGCCACCTCTCTGCTCCCCACCGTCTGCTCCCAGACAAGGCCCCCCACGCCGAAGGTGCCCTGTGAACATACGGACAGGATCACGAGCTTCAGCTGCCGTGGGCCGTAATGGCTGTGGGATGATCGGCAGGGAGCGGTGTCTCGAGAAACGTGTGATTGGGGTGAGGTTAGGTGATGGTTGCAACGACGTGGTGTGGTTTTGGGGTCCCGTGGGCTCTCCGTGGTCAGGACGGCACCCGTGTTGGCTTCCTGCCGGTGAATGTGGCCTGGTGATGCCCACTGTGAGGATCCGGAGCGCTTTGGAGGGATGGCTGGGGGCAGTTTCCGTGCCTGCAGAGCTGCACGCTCCCTCTGTGCCGGGCGGCTGTCGGGTGGCCTGGACAGTGTGAGCACCCACGTGCCGGCTGGAGGCCGGGACAGACTGCTCCGCCCACTGGAGACCCGCCTGCTGGCCTGCCCGCTGTTGGTGGAGGTTTGTGGCTGGAGGTTGTTTTTCAAAATCCATTGCTTCCTTGTACATTCAGGCTGATTTTTGGCTCTGTAAATTGATTTTTTCTTTTAAACTCACATGATTAAATTAAGAGCAGTATAATTAGTTATAGATTTCATGACTGGGATTTGAAGCATTGAATTCACTGAGAACATTTTTGCAACAGCTTTAAAAGCTGGTCGCCAAGTTTCTTCTGCACGTGGGCAGACGTCACAGACACCGAGTCGTGTCAGCTCGCAGAGCGAGAGCTTTGCGGATGCCGAGTTGTGCTGATCGGGGTTCTCCGGAGGTGCGAGATGAAAGGGTGTGGTTGATTGGCAGGAGTCAGCTCACCAGGTCCTGGAGGCCTCACGTTGCAGTCAGCATGCCGGAGACCAGCAGAGCCTGGGTCTGAGTTCCAGCCCCAAGACCAGCACCGAGAGACCAGGAAGAGCTGTGGTTTCCGTCGAGCCAGGAGAAAGGTCCCAGCCTGTGGCCAGGCAGGAGGAGTCCTTTGCGCTGGGGAGGGTCAGCCTTCATGTGAGGCACAGGCCTCCGGAGTCCGCCACGGGAGCATTCTGTCCACCTGCACCTGTGTGAGGCTGAGCCTTACGAGCTGACAAATCGCACCTCCCAGCAGCACGAAACGTGCTTGTGTCTGTCGCAGCCTGTCCTGTGGGCGACCCTTGGAGCCCTGACTGGCTGCACGGCAAGGACAGACGCAGGGCGTGGACGGGACGTGGGGTGTGGCCTGTCCCTACAGCTGCAGTCAGAGTTGTCCCGGACCTGAGCACCGGGTGGCAGGTTGTGCATTCAGAGCTGATTTCTTCAACAAGAGCAGGCAGCGGGGCTCCCTAGGGCAGCTGCACTGGGCCGTGGCCCCTTCCCATCCATGTGGTATAACAGGGGCTGTGTTAGGGCCACGACAGATCCAAACCTGGGGATCTCGGTGGACGTCAGGCGCCCCGTCTTGCAGCAGCGTCGAGTGGGCAGTGCAGGACCCGCCGGTGGCCCCGCGTCCCAGGAGGCTCCCACACCACCAGTCTCCACCCAGGGGCAGAAGAGAGTGGGGAAGGCAGCCCCCTGTGATGCCTTGGCAGAGCCTCTGTGTCCATCTGCGTCCCATTGGCCTGGACGTCTGCGGTGCAGAGAGGCGAGTAGCACCACCCTAACCTGAAGGCCACAGGCCTAGGCAAAGCTGTGGTTGCCCTTTACCAGGGAGGCAGGTTCCAGTCAGCAGTCTCTGCCACTGCGACACTGGCAGCAAACTCCTGCCAGCATCGAGTGAAGACCCACAGCGGATGGGTCACCGGGGCCAGCTGCTTTGGGGCCGCACGGTGCTGCTGGGCTGAGCTCTGGGAGGCGGGCAGGGCCCGGTGATGGCAGCAGTCCTGTGCCTGCGGCCAGTCGCCCACCCTCGCAGCCCTCGGCACTCCTGTCGAGGGATCAGACCCTGTGGAGGCTCGTGGAGACCTGCAAACAGCGGGGCCTAGAAACCCACTGGGCGGGGGATGAAGATAAAGGGCTGCTCTGCTTCCTGCACAAATTTGATGGGGAAAACATAGAAGATTTGTTTTGGATTTTCACTTTAGTCTGGAAAAAAAAAAAAAAAAAGCTAAAATCCCTGATATAAAAGCCTCAAAGCTTCAGTATTTTTTTTTTCTTTGAGATAGCGTCTCGCTCTGTCACCAAGGCTGGAGTGCAATGACGCAATCTCAGTTCACTGCAGTCTCCACCTCCCGGGTTCAAGTGATTCTCCTGCCTCAGCCTCCCGACTAGCTGGGGCTACAGATGCGCCACCACGTCTGGCTAATTTTTGTGTATTTTTAGTAGAGACTGGGTTTCACCATGTTGGCCAGGCTGGCCTTGAACTCCTGACCTCAGGTAATCCACCCACCTTGGCCTCCCAAAGTGCTGGAATTACAGGCGGAGCCACCGTGCCCGGCCAATTCTTTTTCCATAAAACCCCTCCCAGGTCTCCGGTCTCTCTTCTCGCCACAGTACGAGGCTCAGTCAGGGGCTGGCTCAGTTCTCAGACCCTGAGTGTGACCCGCGCGCCCGTCCAGCTCTGGCTCTGACAACGGCAGGGCTTGAAACATTCTCTCCGTTCTGAGCCTCACCAAATGCAGATTCTTCAAAGCTGTGGAGATTAAGTTGAATAGTTTATGTGCCTTGCTTTGGACAATGCTCAGCACAGAGAATCAAACAGCGGGGTCTCTCTCCCCTTCTGCAAACAAGGGAAGCGAAGGCTTGTGTGGCCCCCGTGCGGCGGCCGTGGGGAGGGAGTGTGGGGTGGGGACCGCCACCCCGTGAGCCGGCGTGCGCTGTCCTCCTCTGATGACACGGCAGGAGTGGTCGGTGTGCAGAAAGAGATGGGGAGGTTCACAAAGGGACCTGCTAGGAAGAAGCCAGGCAGCTCTGCCGGTGGGGCCTGGGGACAGGATGGATGGCACGGTGGGCCAGGGTGGTTTTGGAAAAGGCAGCACTTGGGCAGGAAAACAGGAATGCGAGTTCTCACTTTGGGCCTGGGTCCCAGGCTTGAGGCCCTTGCTGGGGACTGCCCTCTTCCACCCAGCGTTTCTCTGCCTCCTGTCCGTCCGTGTCACTTGGGAGACTTCACCTTCTTCGTGGACTTTGTTTATTCCCGGGCTGTTGTTTTTTCTCAGTTCTGTGCCCCGCAGGGGTTTTTGTGCGCTCCCCACCTCCCCGGCCTCCCCTACACTCCTGTTCCCTCTGTCACTCCCCGTGCTGGCGCACGGCGCCGCTCCTGCCGCTGGCCCCTCCAGCCATCTCCGCTCAGTCTTCCCCCATCCTCTGCGTAGCCACTGGTCCCTCTGAGCACATCCAGGCCCACGCTTGGCCTGTGTGCAGCTGTAAGGGGCGTTGGGGAGCCCAGCCCTAGCTGTCCGGGCACGAGCCCTGGACAGGAGTATTTTCCTGGGAGCCTGGCACACCCCATGTCCTCAGTGTCTGTTCACAGCATCTGAACTTGGCCATGTGGAAAACACTAGTCTGGGAGGAAAGCAGGGGAGGCTGCAGAGCAGCTGTGGTTCGATCTGGCAACAGTGTCCGCTGAGCTGCCGCAGTCGGCCGGGAGGCGCCTGGGACTCGGCGGGAGGGGATTTAGCCCAAAGAAGGCAGCGGCTGCGGCGTCCAGGTCCAGCCTGTAAGACGCGCAGGCCTCGCTGCTGAGGGGACATCCTTGTCGGTGACATGCTCATGCCCCGAGGCCACTGAAGAGTCAGACACGTTTTCAGGCAGCTTCAGGGCCTTGACAAGGACGTCCCGAGGGCAGCCGCCTGCCCCAGAACCTCCCAGCGGGAACAGCTGATGCGGTTACAGCCTCAGGTCAAGCGTGGGGTCGAGAGGCCAGGCAGGGCTGCTCTCCTGACTGCCTCGGGAATCCTCGGCCCTCACAGCTCCACCCACCTTTCCCCATCACGGGCTGAGGTGGGGATTCTGCTTCTGAACTGCGTTTTGTGGGCAGATTGAAGAAAAGCTGCGTAGTCGCCACAATCAGCCACCTTCCTCTATGCCATCGGTCATAGAAAATTTAATAGAAAAACTATTCTGGTCACCATAATAACAAAAATATGAAAGGCCTAGGAATAATCCTAGCAAGAGAGGTTCTGTGTCTACCGGGAACAGCCCCGGCAACAGCGGAGGCGTAGAAATGAGTGAACAGGGCACACCGGCCCCGAGGGGGGAGGCCACTTCCCAGATTAACACACACACTTCGCGTCAGTCAGCCTCCTGGCGGGTGTTTTGGACTCTCACAAAATAATCTTTAAAATCTAGAGAAATGTGTACGAAGATGAGCCGGTGGATTCTGGAGAACAAAGAGAAAAGTGCAAAGCGGGGGGCCCAGCCCAGAATTGATTCTCTCCTACTGCACAAGCTTCCCCAAAACGTGGTAGGTTCAGATGGCAGCTGTCTGTCTGCAGGTCATTCTGAGGCTGGGTTTGGGGTTGGCGTGCTCTGTCCTTGAGGCATCAGCTGAGGTCTCCAAGGTGGTGGCTGGCGCTGTGGAAAGGCCCTGACAGGCAGGTGTGATTGGGCTGGCACTGCAGAAAGTTGCAAGGAGGCTGCTTGGGCATTTGGCGGGGCTGGGCTGGGTGCAGAGCGCCTAATGGAGAGGGGTCACCCCGGGCGTGGCCACTGCTGTGCCGGCTGTGTCTCCCCCGAAACAGCAGTGGGAAAACAGCGGCCGAGGGCCAGGACAGGGGCTGCAGGTGCCGAGCTGTTGTTCAACCCGATTGAATTCTAACTCATGACTTGGAACCATTCTGTCCCGGGAAGGATGCCCTCTTCTGCATCCACAGGCAGTGGTGCCCTCGGCGACTAGCTTGCTCACCTGTGTCTGTGGTGCCGGTGCCCTGAGGGCAGGGCCGGCCCCTCTCTCGGCACAGCGGGGTGAATCATCAGTGACGCCCTTGGCACCGTGAGTGCTTGCACCTGCAGACCACATGGGCTCGCTCTCGGGCACCAGCCGTGCCAGGCCCGGACCACCAACTCCGTGCCCTTCTTGCAGACGCCTCTCATGGTGTTTGGCACAGAACACCGTGCTCAGAGGAAACCTCAGAATACGCTGTGGTCAGGGGGCCCTGGGACCGCCAGGCTCATTTCAGCCAGGGGAGGGCGAGAGCGCAGAAGGCCGAGGGGAAGCTGTGCTGATGTTCTCCAGACACGAGGGCACAAAACGAGTTAACACCGGCTGAGCAGGAAATCGAGTTGACACGTCTGCTTCCGTGCAGATAATTCCAGACGAGCACATTCTAGGCAGAGGGCTGTTGTGCTGTTTTGAAACAGTTTGTTCCCTGATATAGATTTAATATTCTGCTTTTCTGTCTTCATTTGACTGCAAGAGGCCTTTTCTGTAGATGAGTGAAAAGAATAAACCTCAATTCAGTTCAAAGTCAAACTGTTACAAATTCATAGTTGGTAAAATGAGTCAGTATTTTCTCTCAGCACTTAGGGAGCTAAGGGTTAAAGTCTGCCTGCAG